TACATCATGTTAGTGTTTATATCAACACCAATACTGTGAGAATTATATAAACACCGCATGATGTTAAATCCGCATCTATATTTTTTAAAGCGTACATATAGTATAATACGTATTACAAAATATTACTGTCACGGTTTTTAATGGAACGGTATTAAGCTGTTGGTACATCCGACAGAATCATCGAAATGCCGATATTGAAGTACAGTTATATTGATGCCCGGTATAAGACATTGTCTATATACAAGGGTAGGTGGAAAAGATATAGAAAGGAAAAGAGAGGTACATTATTTTCTACAACTAGGAGAAACCACATTTCATTCGAAGCCAGTGTCCATCCCCGATCATCATCTTCGACTTTAATTTACCGAGGTAGAGTGGTCTTCACATTTCTGCAGTGACATCGCACTCGCTGTATGTACGTTGCCCATACATATAACTCGGATGGTCGCTTCAAAAATCAGAAGACACCCTAGCGAACATATCCTACCCCGCATCCGCGTCTCTCATACGTAACCCACTCTCTCGTTCTTTCTCTTTCTCTCTCTTTCCCTTTCTCCTTTTCTCCCTCCCCCCTCCCCCTCTCTTTCTTTCTCTGTCTCTCTTTCTCGTTCCTATCCCACCAAACCTCGAGTCGCGCCGATGTGGTGCTCCCACTCTAGCTCTGAACTCTGGGAAGTCACACGCACACACCAGCAAATAACGCCCACGCGGTCTGCACGGTAGGCGTGGCTATCTTGTCATTTGTCTCCTCTACTTTCCCCGAGGCGTTAGGGGATCCCCGGGATGGCGCTCTGTTCCTAGCTTGACGTATGTACTGCCGCTACAACCCCCGTTTTCGTATCGCGCTCTTCGTTTTCCGCGCGCCCGCCGCGTTCTCCTCCTCGAGTGCTTTAGAGTCGCGCGTCCCCTCCCTTCTGTGCCGCGCCGGTAGTTACTCTCCGTCTCTTTCCGTTTTTCCTTTCCGTCCACCCTGCATTTGTCGTTTTTCTTCTACAGCCTCTCTCTCTCTCTCTCTCTCTCTCTCTCTCTCTCTCTCTCTCTCTCTCTCTCTCTCTGAAAGATGCTTCCATCCCTCGCTCCATTTTGTTGCGTGACAACTTCTTGACGCCAGTCACGACGTCCACGGCTCCCTTTGCTGACGACGATTCTCTTACGAGGATCACGCGCGGCCCACTTCGTCTCTGACCCTTCCGGACCTTGCTCCCCGTCACGATAAGAACGAGTCGGGCGTCGTCATGTCTACGAAGTAGTTACTGAGAAACTTGTAGGTTATTCGGTTGACGCAATATCAATCGATGTAGTATGGAGAATGGACGAAACACTAAATGCAACTTGCAATTTGATAAATCCTGAAGCTGAGAGCGAATTGCAGGCTGTAGCTAAAATCGTTATTTAAATAGCGAAAAAGAAGTGATTAAATTATTATTTGTTGCATTCAAGATTATTTCCAACGTACACGCATACTAATACTATTTGTAGTACGCTCTCTGATATGTATTATCAGATTGTACTTTTCGAGGTCATCGTGACGTCTTCTTATTTACATCATGGTGTATATCATGATGACAATGCTTTTTCCTAAATGATGATAAAAAGCTATCACTAAAGTCCTGACAATGATATGATAAATTTTAGATTGCGTTCAGAAACTTCATTCGAAACTGCACCCACGAATCATTTTAACCTTGTTAAATCATACGTTAAACAAGGATAAAATGAAACATAGGTTTACTCAAGAAGTTCCTGAATGCAGCCTTAAATTCTCAGATCAATCGCGCGTGAACGTTCTATCAATCGTATCATTTGGCAGTAGATCAGACAGTTGGGAATTCGCTTTCCCTCGACAACGCTCGCGCAGACATGCCCGCAGTCGTAAACTCCTTATACTCAAGGCACACCTCTCGAAATTGAACAATATGCTCAATATAGACTCCAGACGTCACTGCAAACCGATATTTGCTCCGACTGATAAGCCGAGCGATAACTGCGTACTAGCAATCCCAATTTTAAATAGAGCCGTAAACTTTATTTCCAGTTTTGCGAAACGACAAGATAGTGAAGTTACTGAATGATTATATCCAAAACAATAATTTATAAATCATATTACTTCTTACTGTGGTGACAAAAATAACAAATAGAATATACTGAGTGAGTATTACATTCGCGACTGGACTTCTAATGAATTTCAGGGTTTTAAATCACAGCACAGATAATTGTTAACAATTTTTATAACTGAACAGTAAGTACGCACTTACTATTCAGTTATTATACTTTAGACTTACTGGTCTAAAATATACCATAATATTTTCCTTTTATCCCTAATTAGTGTGTACTTTTTAGATATATATTTAAAAATTTAACGAAAACAAGAAAGAAAGTTCTAGAACAGTTCAGAGCAACAATAAAAAACAAACCTAATAAAATTTTCTAATGTTCTTTCTCCACTCTCTTTCTATTCTCTTCTATGAATGCGAGAGAAGCGGCAAGATTGATTTCTTGCAACAGCGTAGGAATCCCAAGCTGTTCTTTTCTGCTTTATTTGCACGTGAATTTTCAGGTAAACAAACAGTGAGATATAGTGCATTTCTTATGAAGGCGAAGGGTAATCGCCGAAGACTACTTCGCTGGTGGTGGGATCGCGAACTCGCGTGGTCAAGGCATTACGAGGTCGACCGGGAGAAACAACAAACGATAATCGTTGTAGTATAGCAAGATCCGCAAGATCGCCGGTAGTCCAAGAGAAAAGAGGAAACACCACGTGTGCGACGTATGCGTGTGCGTTCGCTCGACGGGGCAAGCACGCCAACCACTGTCTCCATCGTAGGAGGGGCAACTTCGGGTCAAAGGTGGGGTTAAAATCTGAAAGTGGGGATGAACCGGAAGGGATGCGCGTCGGTGACACTGAACGTTAACCAGTATGACCGCCTCGAATAACTATACGCAAGAGATAACTATACGAAAAGAGACACGAAAGATCGTAGCATAGAAAATTCTATTAAAGTATTATATAATATTGTAATATTATAGCTAAAAACGAACAACAGGCAAAGATAAAACAATGACAGACTAGGCACCTAAAAAATTACTCTGTAAAATTACTCTCGGGCAGACTAGACTCACAAGAAAGAAAATTCGGTGCTAGAGATCGCACGAGCAACGAGAAGTGCAGTGGAGAAGGAGCGCCATGCGATTCTAGAAGAAGGGATGCTGTACAAGAGGAAGACGTGCGAAGGGGTTGGTTAGAAGGAGTACGGTGGAGGGACAAGGGGCTGTGTATAAGAGATCGTGAGGTAGCGGACAAGAACCCGTTTATATGAACAAGGATGCACGCGATTAAAACGAGAGGATGCGAATTGCAAACAAACAGCAGTGAGAGAGATGTGATCGAGATAGGATGAACCAAGGGAGGAAAGGAGTGCAAGCGGCAACGCGGACACAGGCGTGAGAGATCGTACCAAGGGGAACGAGCGGTACTAGAGAGCGAGTAACGCCACGAGTACGAGCGAGATGTGATAGGTGGGGAGTCTGCTCCGGGTGTGGAGGCAAAGAGAGAAGGAATGGATGGAGGGGAGTAAGAGCGAGCGAGCCAGAGGGAGAGGCGCAGTCAGACAGTCAGGCAGGCCGCCCGGCAAGCAAGGAAGGCAGGCAGGCAGGCAGGCAACTATAGGCAGGCAGGCAGGCAGGCAGGCAAGCAAGCTAGCAGGCAGCCAGTGCACCAGCCAAGACCACTAGATCCGCTCGGCTTACCGACTTAGAGACTTAAGCCGGCAGGCAGTCCGAAAGGCTCAACCGGCTAAGCCTGGCGGACCCACCTACCAACCGACTTACGCGGCGCTAGCCACTACGACGCGTTTCATCTACCGGCGGGAAAATCAGGATACACCGCTGCAACCGGCGGTACCGCCGCCGCCTTCTTATATTTTCCTCTATCGCCGTGTCCCGCTCCGCGCTTCTCCTCTCCGACGCACGTTAAGGGCAGAGGTGCGAATAGTGACGAGTGCTACGCGATCATCATCGACGCGCTCGTGCCGACGACGACGACGACGACGACGACGGCGGCGACGTCGACGTCGTTACCCGCGGCCGCGCCGTCTGACGACGGTCGCGGGTAGGAGACCACGTTGTTCTCGTGCCACGCGTCTGTAATTCGCATGTAAACATTCACGTAGTGAATTCCCGGAGTGGCGAACGAGAATTCGGAAGTGGTGATAATACAGATTGTGGTGTCACGAAGGTGCCGTGCTCGTCCATCGCGTGCTATCAAATTCGCCGTAACTCTGATTGGTGACAGAAGCGAATGTCGGCTCTTGATAAACATCTCGCCGGAGAGAGTGGATGATGAGAGGAGTCAATGTAGTGGTCAATGTAGTGTTAGATATTATAGGGAACTTTTGATTACGTCTACAAACATTCTACGTTCTATCTGATCTATGAACGCTTCGATGACATTCACAGAGAGGATGTAAAAGCGTGAAGAAGAATCGTGACAAATCGTGAATACTCGACACCAGCAAAGTGAGAAACAAAAATTCAACAGATAAAAACGAAGCAAGAGAAGTAGATGAGTTCATCTACCTCAAGTGGAAGATATTTGTGAGGATGATAGTGCTAGTAATTCAGCCTACTTAAGCGACGTATTTTATAACTCTTCTAGTTTTTTTTTTTTTTACGTAATATAAGTGACAATGAACCGACAATTTGCCTGATTTATCAAATCTCCACGTGTCATACATTTCGGAGTCTTGCCGTGAATTCGCGACCGTCCACGTAATTCCCGTCGGTCCATCTCGAATACCTCCAGCGCAAAATGTCGCGTATACGTTTATCTTGTCAATGATACGAGAGAATCGGAGCGCCAGCGGAAGAGCGCCGACGGTATAACGAACACGCTGTAAAAGCTGTAATCTTTAAAAAAAAAGAAAATTATACCAGTATAATCTCTTTACAAATCTATGGAAGAATCCATAAACCTCATTATTGATTATATTAACATCCGCGTATTGTATTGTCTGATAGAAACCGATGCGTCAAAATTTTCATGATAAGTTCTCTTTTCGAAGGAAACAAGCCGCTTGATGTTTTTGATTGATAATCACCTTTAAAAAACTATCACGCAAATTTGTGGTTGACGACATTCTCCGATCTACGAGATAGAGAGGACGTTTGAATGTGTCCTTAGAAGGAGCCAACGAACAAACCGTGATCGCGCTGATTCACGGCCTTTCGCGGGCCAGATTGATCGTGTCATCAAGTTGTAAGGAACAGTCAACACGACGTTAACCTTCTATAGTATGGAGCGGGGCGGCGGGGCCGGGGGGAGCCTCGAACTCGCCGGAGGCGGCGGCGGTGGCGGCGGAGGCGGCGGCGGTGGCGGAGGCAATGCGGATTTGTGTCTGCAGGACCTCGTGATCGGACCTCCGAGCAGCCTCTCGGTGCAGCATCATCAGCACGCGGCAACCGCCTCGATGGCCGGCCTGCACGGCGACCATCTTCAGGGCGCGATGCACCACCATGATCTCCACGGTAATTCGCATCACGATACCTCGATGCTGCACAATTCCAGCCACCAGCTGCACCATGAGCCGCTGGAGAAACTTAAACGTGGTGAGTCGTTCACAATACTAAAGACTACCGTCATCCCGCAATCATCATTGTGATTTTAACGTGATCAGTAATTTAGATGTAGTTCATTTACAAATCGTGTATTATTAATTTATTTCTATGGAACAAACATACACATCCTGTATCTTCACGAGATAATTTATTATTACTTATTGTTATAGATATTTATTAGGGATGTCAAGTAAGTTTCAAAAGAAATAATTATTAATATTCTTATTATTTTTTTCAAAGAGCAACTTTGATACCTATCTACTTTGATACCTATGCATAAATCCACAAAAATAATTGATAGTTTTCTAAAGTAGTGTAGAAATGATGCCTGGTTGTTTAAATTAGGTTTGAATAAATTATTTCTATCTAAAATGGTTTTCTATCTACTAAAATATAAACGCAATAAATAGATACATCATTTTTTCATTCAGAACTGTAATACAGTATATACAAGATGTCCCACGGTGAGGAGTTGAAACTAGCTAGTCAGCTGTCATTTTCAAATGTATTCAGTTATTGAAAAAATATACACTGCATTGAAAAGAGGAAAATCTGCAGTTTTTAATGAGTATAAATAAAATGTAACAAATATATTTGTATATAAATTTATTTTATTAATGAAAAATGTGCTAATAATCAAATAAACTAATGATTATCCAAGATCATAAACACGATTCAAAACAATGGAAAATTTAGTAGCAGCTATCAAAGGTTATCAACAATATTAAAAACATGTAAAAAGTTTTTACGAGTTTTCGTAAAAAAGAATTGAGTTTTGTACAGATTCGAATAATCGCACTTCAAAAATATTAATCATTAGGATATTTAGCGCATTTTTATATATATCAATAAAATAATACAATTATATTTTGTTAAATTTTATCTATACTCATTAAAAGTTACGTACTTTTCTTTTTTCAACGCAATTTTTATTTTTTAATAACTAAATATATTTGACAATGACAGCTGATCAGTTTCAACATATTCCCGTAGAATACTCTGTATATCTATATAAAAAAATATTATTTTAAAATTCAATGTAAAGTTTAATGTAATTGCAAATGTTTTTCACAGTGTAAATATTACTGCATAAAATGCGTGAGATACAATGAATCAAATCGCATTCTGTAAAACATGAAAGAATTAAGTATGATAAAATCGTAGTAAAATAACTTCGCAAATGAGTTCGATACTTAAGTACAATCAACATGTTAAATTCTTATATATTGATTCCGACAAGATATAAGCTTTACTTTTTCCATTGTCATACCTTATCGCGTTATAATCGCTTGTAGCTGACTTGTCATAGCGCTTGATTTTATTGTTGACGATATTATCGATCCTCATTGATTCGTGCGATAAGTACCTGATGTTTTTCCTGACTGCGTCGCGCGAAAGTATTATCGTACATTCTCCGTCGAAAATCTCGTATCGGATGTGTCATTCGTAAAATAAGATTGATACGTATGACGTTGCATAAATGTAGGAAACTTTCTTTATTCGTCGTGACAAACGTGCTACGACAAATAAACTTGCAAGGCGCAAACAATTGGAATTGATGAAATAATTCGTTGAGAAAAATGAGAGGTTTGTTCGCACGATTTAGCGCGATGAATCGCAATGTGACGCATGATCTAAAATATTCAATTACGTGCTACCTCGCCGATAAACCTCGATAAGAAGGAAAATTTAATATATTTCCTCTCTCGTCACGTTTTTATCGAAAGATCTATAATTCAAATATGTTCACTGCACACGCTCCCACTCTTATTCTAGAAAACATTGAAACGAAATTAATAATATTTTTATTGTGATCAACTGCTAACTAATCATAATCTATCTATGTTTCGTACTACAAGCAAATCTCTCAAACAATGATAATCGTTTTATAAATAAATATATAATCATTTAGCAAATTAAAAAGAAGAAATCAATAAACAAATTCCACGTTATGTTATTTAGAGACTCTTTGAAACTCGATTCTTTTTTTCTTTTTAATCATAAGAGACTCTTGTCTGAAACGACATTGATTCTCGTCAAGTGCCAGATGAGATAAAATTTTAGTACGAATAACTTTGATAAGCGTTGTGTTATTTCTACCCATGATATGAAACAGGCAGATAAAACTTCGAGCCCATTTGATATTGATGCGCCGAAAACTCGAGAGTACATGCTTACCTATTTTTATAGAGGCTAAACTAGTCATTATTTAAATTTGTTATTTTCCATGGTCCGATATAACTATTTTTACTTAAACATGTCGCTCATTTGCTACAACAATGACACAACTCAAAAATTACCATTTTTTAGATGTTTGTAAAAGAAGAGTAGAAATATAAAGAAAAAGAAGAACGTATATAAAAAAAAAAACATACTTTTATGGTCTCTATGATCAGTTATCACGCTAAAATTGTAAAATTTTGAAGTAATCTGAAAAGTCGTCAGCGCGTAATTATATATCTGATTTATATATTGAATTATATATCTGAGATAATTTATTTAAATACATATACATGCATAGATATATTAATATTATACCAATATCTGACTTTGACTCTTCTCTTACTTACAATTAATTAATTTATTCATATGATGAGTCTTGTTTTTATAATTTATTACTAGTAATATTACAAAATTTTTATATTTCAAACTTATTTTCTGAAAAACTGTTTTTTTGATTTGTGTTATTGTAGTAAACGATATTATTTGAGAAGATTTTGTTCTCGTATCATTTTTTTATTTCAAAAGCAACACAACTAAAAAAAATACAGAAAAGAGAAAAATTATTTTTCAACATAACAGAAAATGATTGATTAATCAAAATAATATCGGCAAAAAAAATATATTCTTAATATAACCATATTATTTTCATCATTTTCATTTCATATCTCTTAAAAAATCATTCTTTTGTGCGTTGTGATGATTTTAACAATTTTTTTAAACCGCTTTTTTTTAACTGCTTTTTTATATTGTGATAATTTTTTATGAAGTTAAGTTTATTTTTGTTTGATAAGCTAATGTTTATTTAATTTATTCATGGTAATAATTCGAAAATCACTTTTTGTGTCACTTTTGAAATAAGAGAGCAATATTATCTTTCTTTACTCTTCTGTTACAAATTTTTTAAATATTTAATTTGCAATACAAATATTTTAAAAATTGTACAAATACATTGTATTTATACACAAGACCCATGGAAACGCTTCGTTACACCGCAAAATCATAACCGAAGAAGAGTTCGTTGAAAATGTTCGTCGAAATGGACTAGTCGAAGACGAGTTTCATAACGCGTTAGTCGTTCATTGTAATGTAGTGTCATTCGCGCGAACGGGTGAATTCAGTCACACGTATGGCGATCATCGAAGACGACGAAGACGATCCTCTTCTGTGGCAACGCCACCACCTGTTTTGTGATTCATTAACTCACCGGCTTATCGGGATAAGGTAGACTTATCCGGGGCTCGAACCCGACACTGCGGCTAAACCCGATCTTATTCCAATGGCATTCTATACCTATCCCGGTTCCAGTTCTAGACTCGCGCCAGCGATTCCCACCATTCAGGATCGCGAGTACTCTAAGAAGAGCTTCATTTTTCTCAATGTATCGAAAGTTTTCTTTTCACTCCCTCACCGACAATAAATCGTGTTCTCGTCTACATATGTAGATGAATTCAACGAGGATAGATAAATCAATTTTAGCTTATGAATCCATTCAGAGGATAAAACTTTGTACGCAATTTACAATTATTATAAGGATTATTCTCAATATTGCTTATTTTCCTAAGCATTATGCATTCTTAATGATTTTTCATTTAACTGCTCTATCACTATTCGAGCTGGCTCACTTTCGCATTATTTGTCGCGGCGCTTGATCGGGTCAACAGGTAGGATATTGATAAATTCAAAGCGGCCGCGAGCGAATTAAAATTTCTATCATGAACGCTACCCCACATATTATTGTCATTAATATCGCGACGGGATTACGCGAACTCTATTAATATCAGCACGTCGATGAAAATTAATGCCAGCGTCGACCGCGATAAAAGCAATGCCATGCTCTAATGAAAATGATGCGGAAATAGCTGGACGATCGGATCGAGATTGCAAGCGAAAATTCGGTGCAAGAAGAATCGTCGCGGAAAATCTGTTATCCCCACTCGGCCGACGAGAAGCTCAATATTTTGTCAACAGGGTGGCATACGGTCGGCTCCGATCTGCGCAGTCCCCGTTAGTCATTAACTACCCCTTTATTATCGCGCGGCCTTGCAATCGAGCCAGCAGATGCGTCGAAGTCCACCCTTAATGCACCCCTCTCCCTTCCGGACTAATGGTGTTGACAAATTGCTCAGCTAGCCTCTATCCTCCCCGGGGAATGCGCCCGCAAAAATCTCTTCACCGCAAACTTATGGGCGTTTAGACGCGAAATTGAACCGCGACTCCTGCAGATCGCGATTCCTGCATGTGGGATAAACTTTGTCGTGCAGTGATCTGAAACGAAACTTCAAATTCCCGTAACGTAACAGAAGCAAAGGATGGGATATCGTTTCTTGAAACTGTTTTATCAAAACGCATTTGTGACCCTGTATTTGTGAACCTATATTTAAAATTTCAATAATATAATAACGGCTCTATTACATGCGTATTACAGAAGCAGAACAAGCCATCATGACATCAAACTAACATTAAAATAGCTTCAAAATGATCACTGAAAATTTACTTTCAGTTTTGATTTTTATCGTAACTTGTTCTCTTTGGATTACGCGTAAATATAAAATGTATAATATTATATCTATAGATAGTACATTTACTGTAAACTTTCATGGATGGCAAGTAATGTGTTATTTGTAATACTGTTATTGTTACTTTTTTATAATAGCGATTTGTAATGACGTTACAATTTTTCATGATAGGGTTGGAAGAGTCATTTTGGAAAATAACTTGATCCTGATTACATAATCAATAAAAATAACGCCGTTACTAATGCGTTA